AAGAACTTGAAAAATTTAGGCTAAACTTTTCAAGCTGTTCAAACGGTGACGCAGCTCCTTTAAGAAGCGGTTTTTGTTAGGACATGTTCCTAACAAGGGCGCTAATTATCAACATTTTACTGTGAAAGGTCATTTGGTCCATAATAGCAGAAGCTCACCACAGCAGTAGCCATGCAAGTACCCCAATCCTCTAAGGTCTCCACGTTCACGGCCGATAGGGCCTTTCTCAGAAGAGGCACTAGAAAGTCCCACAGATTTTCAACCTAAAAATATGAAAAACTGATCAAACTCGGGAACAAACAAACAAACAAACATATAAACAAGAGAATGAAGAATGTGAAGACATGATTGATCATCGCAGTTATATACACAACTTGAGCAGAACAAAGAATATTAAGCTTTAGAAAAGAAAAGCAAATAAACAGTTCTCCTGAGGGAGGTTCTCGCTACAGTTTTTTTTTTTAAATTGTAAGAAGCTTACGAGGCAGCAATGTGGCGAAATAGTCGTCAATCCGCTGCCACGAGGCGTCATTATAACACATCTTCCACTCCTAGTTCGTGATTGGAATACTCAATGCGAGAGAACGGTTTTCATTTGAGGGTCGTAGAACTAAAACCAAAGCAACCACTCTGGCCAATCACAAAGGACTTAAACAATCCAGTGAACCAATCAGAACTCGAAGCAAGTACATGTAGCTGACGCAAAGCGCGGGAAAACGTGTGTGAGCGAGTCAAGATTGATTTTGGTATTACGTCTGATTGGCTGACAAAGTAGCACGAGTTCTTTTTAAGCCGATCGCTTAGCGTCGCAATGTAAAACCAAAGCAAACGCAAATTACTTTCGACACTCAAGTGAAAACTCTTGATTCTGGTTTATGTAACTAGAGATATGGGTGTCCAAAGGTAGATTAATACCTACGAAACGCCTCACTTGTTTGTCTATACCTTTTCAAATTTCCAGTGTTTGCACCCGCGGATAACAGCGGCGATGATTTCTACAGCGCACCTTTGACTGCTCTCCTACAAAAGAATAAAAAACAAATACACAAACGGGTTATATTAAAAGAGCTGAGGTATTTCATGCCGAGCCACATAGCGTCTAAAGAAGAGATCAGTGCGAGGAACACGAAGTTACATGTACACTGTTTACCTTACCTGTGGGTCTATACAAAGTCGTTCAAGATGAGGCTTTATTAAATCTACAAATGTGTCGTCAAAGTTTCTAAATAGACCCTGTTGAGAAAAAATATACAGACACCGATTAGTAAGAAAGATACTGCGCCAGTTCTTACCAGTTACAAAACCGATCACTACCGATTGCCAATTCGTGGCGGGGACCCCATTCTGACTTTTCCCGCCACTGTCTGAACACGCGCAAATGAAAAGTT